ATGCTGTGGAGGGCTATAAAGACTTGGCAAGTTCGAAGCATCATAAGAACGTTTCCTTGAATTTCAATCCTTGGGAGCATTTTGGAAGGAAGGAACCTGACATTCCTGGTAAGTGTTCTTGTTTTTTTCTCCTCCTGTATTAATAATATTTTAATACCAAAATGTTTGAATTATTTAGGAATATTGGTTGCAGTTGTGATTTGTTAACATATTTGATTCATGCTTCATGTCATATTTGTTTTTTATTTTTTATTTTGAAGAGGCCTTAGCATCTCCTTGACCTATGTAATTGAATGTGCATACTGACATGTATCGGGTTATGGCATGCTATTTTGATGAAATAGGAATAATTTAATGCACTCTGTTAAAATTAATTCTTTCTGTTTCACAATTCATTTTAAACTTCACTGGATCATTTTCATTGCAAGAGTGATGGAGTCTACCCAACCCTAAGATGGTGGTCCATTTTTGGATGGGAAAGTGTCGGGCAACAATAAAAATAAAAATAAAAATATCATAGTTGAACAGAAAAGCTTGTAAAAAGTGTATACTTGCTATGCTTGGCCAGGAATAGTTGTCCTCTGTCGTTTTGATAACTTCATCTAGGATATAAGATGGTGAGTGTTATCATGACCATAACTTCGTAGTTGGTTTGATTCAACCTTAGTAGGTCTTGCAAACAGCGGAGCATTTATTTAGTGCAGATGAACTGGCAAGCACCTGATTTGAAGAACAGATGCAGTTCCATTTGGTTATGCAGATCATACTTTAACAAAATGCCTGAAAATTTGGCTTTTAAACGGCTGCTTACAGAAACCTGATTTTTACCCCTTTTTTTGTTGGTCCCTATATCATTTTAAATCTCTGGTTCCTTCAAACTTGCTCTCTTGCGTTTCCAGTTTGATTACTGAAATCAACAAATCTATTGGTCACTTTTGTTTCTTTTTCCTAATGATCTTGTCATCAAAACTCTTGGTGCTCATGTTTGTCTTTCATCTCTTGAATCCTGTTTCTTTTGTTGTTTGATTTGAATTATGGGACTTCAATTTACAGTTCTTTTTTTCCTGTTCCTCACATTTTCTTTTCTCATTTTTTTAAAAACTATTGTGTTTTTTCTAATTTTCGTGTTCTCCTTGTATCAACTAGTTTGGGATTGAGGCTTTGTACTTGTTTTTGTTCCCGCTCTCCTCCCTTTCTATCTTTCTGTTTTTTAGCTCCTTTATTTTAAAAATAAAATAGGTAAATTCATTGTAAAGATGTCGAAATCCTTTGAAATTCTTTCTTTTCTCCATCCCCTCCCTTCTGAATCCAGCTCTTATTTTGTCAATTTGATTGGTTCATTTTCTGTTTGGGCAGGTATGGCTGCAGCAAGGGGAAGATGGAACCATTTGAATGTATTTGCACATTGAAGAATAGCATGAAGGAATCTTGCTAAAGTCCTTATGTGCATTATATCTACACATGTCTGTTGAACTCATGCTCTGATTGCTGTGTTTATGCTGCTTGCATATAGTCATTGTACATAGAAATTCTTTCTGTTGGCTTACCTAGTTGTAGTTTTTGGGAGCCTAGTGTCGTCATCCAACATGGCCTATTGCATTCTTTTGTAATTGAAAACTAATAAAGAGATGCTAACTGCTACTACCTGTGTGAATGAACAGAATGTTGTGCCTGTTACTGTTATTTCCATTTATCATTTTTCTCATTTCTCTCTGGGCTGAAATACCTGTGTTATCTATTTATTTATTTTGGGATCAAGATTTCCATTGTTATGAGTAATGTGTCGGCTCTAAATTTTGAGATTAATCTCAGGGGAAGAATCTTCTGAAATTTTGGACGATGGATTAGAAAACATGGAAGTAGATGGGGTGCAAAATGCGGATCTCTTGGTTCCTGCTTGCAGTTATAGTATTGAGGGTGAAGGTGCTGATACAGTTTTGGAAGAAGCCTATGGTGAAGAAGTTGACAGCGATGATGATTATGCTAGCATTCAGAGGCCTGCTTTTGCAGTAGAAGGAGAACCAGATTTTGATTCTGGACCTCCAGAGGATGGATTAGAATTCCTCAGGCGTGTCAGGTACTATTCTGTATCCTACTTTTCTTTTCCTTTACCAACTATCGATGCTAGCATTAAAATCCAAAAAATGATTGCATTCTGTCAAATGGCAAGTTTGACTGCAACCCTAAAGTTCCAACATAGTTTATGACAGTGACATAAAATTGTAATCTTGTCATCAACTTCATATTTCTTTCTTCTTCTGTTTAGGTGGGAAGCTGCTCGCATTCCAAAAGTTAAAGTAGCCAAGCTTGACAGGAGTAGAGTTAACAAAGAACAAACTGTTTACATGCCCCAGATTCCTAACATTGCCAAGTGTCCAGAGTATTTACTGCCATTGAAGCAGTGGGAGGATGCATTTCTTGTTGATTTTTCTGAGCTGCGACAGGTATAGTTCTGGTGTTAATCTGCCTTGTGTTTATGTGGTAATTTTATTGGCAAAACAACTCTATTTGTCTGTTTTAGCTGAAAGGGGGAAAATAAAATTCTTCATTGATCTGTTCACCTCTCTTTGAAATAAACCTGTATCTATATTTCTTGAAGAATTGTCTAAAAGATTCTCTGAAGTTGTGTAAAATGTTGCTTGTTTTATCCATGCAGAGATATACATTATTCGATCCTTTTGTCCCAAAAATCATTCCTTCAAAAGTGAGAGAGTGCCAACTTTTTGTGGAGGGAAGATGATTTGTGATTTTAGAGAAACTGTATAGCATTCATTTGCACGTACAATAGGAAAAAACCTGAGATTAGCTTGAATTTTTTTAATCCAATGATGATATTTAAGGTCTTTAAGAATCTTGCCTGCTAGGTCATAAACATATAACAAGAAAAATAGAGAATGCGTAGTACTAATGTTGAAAACTGACTTCGTTTTCTTTTTTTTTCTTTCTCTGAATTCCAGTTTCTGTCTCAAAATGATGGTTCCAGCACTAGAATTTCCCAGAGGATGCAACCAGCAGCTATTGTTCTTGGGAATTCTTCCCACCAGCATGCTGAAAGTATTGTTGTTGAGAAATCCGATATCCTTAGAACTGGAACTGATGAGGTCCAATCCTACAAACCTCTTGATACTTCCAGTGCCAAGAACACCATTGATCACACATGCATGGCGAATGTTGAAGACTGTAGAAACTTAACATCTTCTCAGATTCCAACTCCTGAAGCTTCTTGCAGTGATGCTTCATGCAACTACCCAACCTTGTCTGTGATTTTAGCTATGGATTGTGTTGCTCGAGTTTCAATGCTGAGGAAACGCATAAAATTGGCAGAAACCATGGACAAACTGTCGAAGAACGATTGTGTGTGGCTATTTGCCTTATGTGCAGCAGTTGATGCTCCACTAGATGCTGACACATGTGCTGCTCTTCGGGGTCTGCTCCGAAAATGCGCAAGCTTGCGAGCTAGCAAATCTGAACATGATGATGAGGTTATCATGCTGAATATCCTCGCCACAATTTCAGGCAGGTATTTTGGACAGTCTGAAAGCTGAAGCTTCTCAGTTCAACTAAACCATGTCAACTTCAGGAGTATATTTATATTTCTTGTATTTGAGTATAGCAAGTTGCATTTACTTTTCAATCTGCTTTGGAGAAGTGGCTTCTGTTTGTTTAGACGCAAAATTAGAGTTATTTTGAATTTGCCGTGGTTTAATTATGAAATTTTATTTCCTCTGATATAATCTCAAAATATTTTTTTTAGATTTTTATGACCTAACATATTAAAATCAATAAAAATCACTAAAAATAATAATTAATTTAACCTCTTCAACTTGAAATCAGTTTTTATTGGAAAAAACATATTAATTAATCTAATAGTTTCTGTTAAAAAGAGATATTTCCGTGTAATAATTTGAATTGAAATAAAGTGGTCATAATTATCATAATTTTAAATCGGTTTATAAATACAAAATTGTAGAGGTTCTTGGCCAAATCATGTAGTTAACAATTATGCTTCCATGATCATGCCACGTCATCCTGGTAGGGCAAAATCTCCCGCCCATTTTGGCCACGTGCACTCTCTTCTCTCTGCTGTGCAATGGCCGATGTACCGACCCACCTATCTATAAACGGGGGCAAAAAACAGAAAAGGCCCGACCCGGAAAAATGTCGAGTGAGGCGAAGAAAAGGAAAGGATTTAGCAGCAGCACAACCCCAGCTTCACTAACCAAAATCTTGATCCGTTCCCTATCGCGTCTTAATTCAAGAACCCCATCCAACCCCATCCCTCTTTCTTCTTTCTCTCTTAATTCCGTACGTACAGTAACCTTTTCTGGGTGTAAATGAATGAATGGTGTTTTTAGTTAATGGGAATTATTATTATTTTTGTTTTGGACATTTTTTTTAAATCTGGGTGAATGTTTTACAGGTTTGGTTACATGACTGGTGGCTGGTTAAGGTAGAAGGGAATACTTCAAGAGAGTAAGTCATTGGATTTATTTAATTTTCAGCCATTTTTCTTTTCTTTATTGAAGTTTTGTGATCATGTTACTGTAGAACATTACATATTTTTATTCTTCTGGTTAATATTTTGGTATGAACTATTCAATCAAGATCATTATGTTAGGCCTATTCTGTGACTTGCAGCATGTTTTTGACATCCATGTCTATGCTTGCCATTAAATAGCTTATAGAAACTTAACTCCATTTTCTTTCTATGATTAGTGAGCAATGAAGTTACTGTGTGTTCATCTGGTTTTTATTTTGGATTTGATGCCATAGAGGAGCAGGGACAAGATTATTTTGTTCAGCAGCAATTGTCAAAAGACATTATACTACCATTCTTGAGGCGAGAGATGGCATCACTGTTACACTTAGTGGATTCATAAATCGAGATCGAGCACATGAAAATGGGTTTTCATTTCAGGTATGTCATCATCTTTGTTCAGACTCTTGCTCTGATTTTGTGATTGAAATGATATGGTGTTGTGTGCTATTTGATTTCAGAAATTTGTGATGCAGATATATTGACCCTACTGTGTATATCTGTTAATTGTTGTTCCCACTTGCTTGTGTAAGTGTTTTCTCATGAGAAACTCTGTTTTCTTTGATTGAGAGCTTCTATGTGCTCAGTATCTATGCATTGTAAAGAAGGAAAATCAATTTGGATGCAGTTTCTTAGATAGAGAGAGATGACTTGCCCTAGTTGCATTCAACTTCATTTGTTGATTTTCTAACTCAAAACCAAGACTGTCGCTTTGAGCAGATTTGTGACCGTTTCCAACTGGGGTTTCCATATTCCTGGGAAGAAATTGCTGCTAAATTGCTCGGTGAAGAAGAGTCTGCTAATGGAGGTAGACCTGGGGGAAAATCTGGATTTGTGGAGCTCAACATGCCTTCTGGCAACAGCACAAACACTGCTTCGGGGTCATTTGATGATATCCCAGTTACAAGAATCCGTGATATTCTAACGCACCCTCTTGGAGATCCCAATGATTGTGCACTTGAAGACATACTAGGATCATTCTGCAGCAACACGATGGAACACGCTCCCATGTTAACTGATCGATTCTCAAATAGCAAGGGTCCTGTCACAGTGGCAAGGGAAAAAAAGAGGGCCAAGGCTGGCCCGAAGCACAAAGACGGGGGTAAAATCACACTTACAGATGATACAGTAATGGGGGAGTGCATTACCCCAAGAAGAGGAGTTGTCACAAGAAGCATGTCTAGACTGAGGAATCTTGCAAAAAACAACCCAGAATAGATTTTGTTAAACTCTTCAATTGAGGGTAAAGACCATGCTTTTCTTTCATGCTTTTCTTTCAACATCAGAGGCTGCTCGGCTTAGCTGTTTCTGGGTTTACTTCAAGAGAGTAAGTCAATGAATTTATTTAATTTTCAGCCATTTTTCTTTTCTTTATTGAAATTTTGTGATCATGTTACTGTAGAACATTACATATAAACTATTCATTTAAGATCACATGTTAGGCCTATTCTGTGACTTGCAGCATATTTTTGACATCCATGTCTATGCATGCCATTAAATAGCTTATAGAAACTTAGCTCCATTTTCTTTTTATGATTAGTGAGCAATGAAGTTACTGTGTGTTCATCTGGTTTTTATTTTGGATTTGATGCCATAGAGGAGCAGGGACAAGATTATTTTGTTCAGCAGCAATTGTCAAAAGACATTATACTACCATTCTTGAGGCGAGAGATGGCATCACTGTTACACTTAGTGGATTCATAAATCGAGATCGAGCACATGAAAATGAGTTTTCATTTCAGGTATTTCATCATCTTTGTTCAGACTCTTACTCTGATTCTGTGATTGAAATGATATGGTGTTGTGTGTGCTATTTGATTTCAGAAATCTGTGATGCAGATATATTGACCCTACTGTGTATATCTGTTAATTGTTGTTCCCACTTGCTTGTGTAAGTGTTTTCTCATGAGAAACTCTGTTTTCTTTGATTGAGAGCTTCTATGTGCTCAGTATCTATGCATTGTAAAGAAGGAAAATCAATTTGGATGCAGTTTCTTAGATAGAGAGAGATGACTTGCCCTAGTTGCATTCAACTTCATTTGTTGATTTTCTAACTCAAAACCAAGACTGTCGCTTTGAGCAGATTTGTGACCGTTTCCAACTGGGGTTTCCATATTCCTGGGAAGAAATTGCTGCTAAATTGCACGGTGAAGAGTCTGCTAGTGGAGGTAGACCTGGGGGAAAATCTGGATTTGTGGAGCTCAACATGTCTTCTGGCAACAGCACAAACACTGCTTCGGTGTCATTTGATGATATCCCAGTTACAAGAATCCGTGATATTCTAATGCACCCTCTTGGAGATCCCAAAGGTTGTGCACTTGAAGGCATACTAGGATCGTTCTGCAGCAACACGATGGAACACGCTTCCATGTTAACTGATCCATTCTCAAATAGCAAGAGTCCTGTCACAGTGGCAAGGAAAAAAAAGATGGCCAAGGCTGACCAGAAGCACAAAGATGGGGGTAAAATCACACTTACAGATGATACAGTAATGGGGGAGTGCATTACCCCAAGAAGAGGAGTTGTCACAAGAAGCATGTCTAGACTGAGGAATCTTGCAAAAAACAACCCAGAATAGATTTTGTTGAACTCTTCAATTGAGAGTAAAGACGATGCTTTTCTTTCAACATCAGAGGCTGCTCCGAACCGGTCTGGAGGGATGAGTGCTAGGAAAGATAGTTGTGCAAACATATCTAGATATCTAGATGGATGAATGATGAGAAAATGCAGGAAGAAAATCTCCCATCAAAATCTACTGTCTCTTGCAAAGAATTCAGAAACAGCTGAGAAAGATAAGTGTGCTATCGTGTGTAGATTGGTGAATCCTAGAACATCGAAGGAAGAAAATCTGTCATCGAAGTCCACTGTCTCCTGCAAAGAATTCCAAGAACCCCAGAAAAGGCTCTTCCATCAAGAGTGAAGACAATGCTTTTCTTTCAACATTAGAAGCCATAGATGTAGAACTGCTGGCAAAGATAGTCTAGCCGCCATCATCCAAGGAAAGTCCCTGATGTATATATGATCAAATATCCAGAAGGATTACCGTGACATGACCTCTATGGAAAGCCAGAATTCCGAAACAGAATCTAGAACTGCTGGGATGTTCATGCTTAATGGAGTTGTTCTTGCAGAAACTGATGATGACTCATTTGGCAGTCAATGTGTGATATTTACAGGTTTTTTGGGGCTGCAAACTTTTCAATACGGGCAATACAAGCTAAGTTCTCATTCAGAATAGAACTCAACAAATTCCAGAGTTTGTTCATATGTCGGATGATAGAATGCCCATGACTTTCTTAATCCTTCCATTCTAACGGAGGATATACCTTGAATTCGACCACTATATGCAGGTGATTAACACAGGTACTCACCTTGGATTCTCCGTTGGACCTGGGGTTTGTTTCTGCTTGGAATAGTCCTGCAGAAAATGCAAACAGAGCTCTCCGTTTCTAGGCAAGAGCACTCAAAGGGATATGCGATTTCCTTCCAGCCTGGAATTTAGTTGTAGAATTTCTTTTTTAACATTCAAGATGCATCCATATATGCAAAGACAGTTTCTATTTTTTTCTTGGCTTGGTGTGCATAGAAGAAATTCATCCCCGCGAAGAATGACCAACCACAGTCAATATCCAGGAACCGCTGACATTCATCATAAAAAGGATCATGGAATCATCAGGGTTGGTGGCAATTTAATTAATCGTTCACTTTCTGGGGCAGCATTACGTCACAAACAAGATCGGTTCAGCTACATGATTTGATTCATTTGTAGGGACTTGGGTTCTTTCTCTTTTGTACTAATTATGCAATGATTAGATGAAGGAGAAACAACCACAGAATACTAAAAGAATAAGCTATTATCAAATCAAATTGAATAGATGGTCACTCATACAGAACCCCTGTATCTTACAGTGACTTACAAATGGTCCTATTTGCCGCTTTGTTGCACTTCCCAATGATGTCGGAGTTAACAGTCACCCTTACAAGTGCCGAAAAGATTATGTCTGGAGCTGACTATTACTTTTTCCTTTTTTTACAAATGCTAGGATGTTGGCCAGTCTGGATTTTGGAGTTCAGTTGCACTTCCTTCTGACACTGCATCTACACGGGCACTCTTTTGCCCCGATATCGATCAAAAAACTGCCCATACATGAAATACAAAATTAGATCAGCTTCTAATGGTGAAGTGTTCGTGAACAGTTAATGTATATAAATGAAATCGAGAATTCTATGGATCAATAAATTTAACTGATTCCAGCGCCAGCCAGCAGAAGTTATAATTGTGCAAACCCCTTGTTTATGTTTGAAATGCCATGAAGATTTGACTAACACACCCCTCCCACAAAATCCTCTGTTAATTCTATGACTGCTCCAACCAATTTTTCTAATACAATTTGTCCAATCTGTGAACCTCTCTGCCTAATCATTTTTTTTTTTCATCGGAAAGCCTTTCATAGAAGTGGCAGGCTAAAAATCTAATTCATTGCACTTGTCATTCAAGTCAGCATGTCAATGCTTCCTAACATCACTCCAAGCAACCTTTCATCTTGTTTCCTCAATTATCAAATTCCACCCGTCCTAAAATCTTTCATCACGGTTCATCAATCATCAAATTCCACACATCTCCCTCCACTTGCTATGATCTGAACCAGGGATTTACATGAATGCTATTTCAACCTTTTACAGATATAGTTGATGCCCAAGAGAAACTTTGCCAAGTACACTTATCCTTGGCCATTCCATGCAGACATAAATTCCAACCTTCTTTGCATACAAGATCAAGTCTCAATGCAAGTTATGTTACTAGCAAAGACATGCCAGAGACAACACAAACAATGAAAATTGTGCTAAATTCCACTCGTTAAGTATTTGCAAAATAAAAAGTTTGCAACAATAAATAAACAGTCCACCTTACATTTTAGACAAAAAGGGAAAACAATCAATAAATATCAAAAGTACATAAAATAGAAGGTTAGAAACAAGCGCGCAACTAACCTAGCCACAAATGAAGGAAAGAGTAAAGGGTGTATCAGAAAAGCAAAGGGGTGACAAATGGACAAAAGTTGTTTAAGCAAATAATCATTCTTTTATGGAATCAATAATATAACCAATTCACCAGAAAACATGCCAAAAGAAAAAATTAGCAACAACGAAATAAGTCAACTTCCTAGTGAGGTTGGCTGTTCTACCTTTAGAACTAACATGATTCGTTCTGCATGATATTTTAGCATAATAAGGGATGATCAAGATTTTCTATTACAATTTTTCAAACTTCTTCGTTAGATGCCCTAAATGACATCAATCAGTTCTGCATGTTCCTAATGTCCATTGCAAACAGGCATGATGTCCAAGCCAAGTACATACATAGAACAGTTTAAAAACTTACTCATACGATAAGATAAGAATGTATTATCTACAAGGATGGAAGTCTAAGAACAGTTTTTTTTATTTCAGTTGCAAAGTAAACATACTGATCTCACAAAAGGCTGTTGGAACACCCATCCAAGAATTGGTATCTTCTGAATGAATACTGCCAGTGTTGGCCAGAAACCACTGTACAAAATTCCCATCAGCATCTTCAACGGGATGAAGCAAGCAGATTAACTATAAACCAATTAGATAAACATTCAACAGACCTGAAGAGAACAATGAAACCATATGCTTCCAAAATCATGCCAATAACTGGCCATCCTATGACCACAAAGAAGAAGCCAGCACCAAATGAAATAGTTCCCTGCATAACCAGAAAAGCAAACGTGGTGTAAAGTGAGCATGAAATACAGCTGCTGATGCAGGGTTCACATATGCACACAGAAACAGATAGATCAACATAGATTAACTACCTTAAAATTCTGGCGTTTCATGAAGAATTGCATGGTAGACTTTGGTCCAATAGTGAGACTGACTCCAGAGATGAAAAGGATCTGGTCAAGTACCGCAGAGAAAGAACCAGCGTTAAAATGATATCATAGCACAAGCAAAACAGAGCTGATGGTGAATACATACATGCATGGCATGGCACTTACATTTCCCATGGCAAGAAATCCCTTGTCAAAGAAGAAGATAATTCCTAAGAATGAGAAAAATATGCCAAATCCAGTCAAGCCTAATCCAATCTCTGTTTCATTTCACAAAAAATAAGAGGTATAAGACTTTAGATAGAACAAAAAGCATACCAAATTAACACAACAAAAATACTGATCTTTTTTCTGTTATTCTCTTTCCTATGGACAAGTAATTCATGCTCGAAGTAACAAAAAAAATTCCATTATTCACAGGAACACAGAGTCAACATAAGGCAATAGCTATGAGCACAAGATACATAGAGTAATCAACCGTATGAATTGTCATTGCAAAGCTTCAGCATTACTCAAGACTCCTCAAACAGTTCAAGCTTGCCAAATTTTCATCAGCCCACACAGACACTAATATATAACATAAATTTCCCACATAAGGTTCCTCAGGTCCAATGTTCATCATCAAGACTACGAGACAATTCTAAAAACGGCAACCCTAACAAGTTACTACAAGCCTAATACAATTTCTCAAACTCATTAGTAACAATAACACGCTAACGCAACTAATTAAACAGCTTTACCGCAGTACTAAACAGAATCATCTACGCTAATAATAGCTTTCTCTCTTACTTTCAACAAATTTCAAGTCAAAACAGGCACAAATTACCTTTTAAAAATAATAAACAAAAATCCAAAAAAAAAAAACGCGGCCATGCAAATAGCATTTATAAAGAAAAAAGATCAAATTTTACTCACTTTTACGGTCATTCAATTCAAAGGAAACCATCGTTAAAGCTGTAGGTGGATTCTTCACGTACTAATCACTTTAACTGGAAAGAGCAAAATCAGATCCAATTAAGATCAAATTATGCAGAGTTAGCTTCAAATTTAGGGATTTGATTGAAAAAAATGAATCACACGAGATCTGCATGCGCTAGAATCGTAAATTTTGTGTTACCCGGTAAATCAGGTACAGAGAAAGAGACAGAACACGAAAGAGATCTTCTAGACTGATCTATCTGCAATGGAAAGACAAATCATATCGAAACGATTATCCATTTCACCGATTAAAAGAAGATAAAACAGTGTGAGAGAGAGAATGAATCGAAAGAAGCTATGTTTGGATGCTGATAAAACAAAGAACGGCCTAGGTTTATCTTTCTGATTTTCCTCTTGTTTTTCTCGACCACCAAACAGAAACTAAACAGAGAGAGGGGGGGTGACCTGAGATTTGAGAGAAGCGCAGAGGAAGAGCAGGAAAGGAAATGAAGCGAGAGAGAGAGAGAGCGTGTCAGTTAGTTATTATTCCCTTCTTATATAATATAGGCAAAAGAAGATTATTTTTGTTTTATTTTGTTTTCTTATGAAAATATTTTTTAAGAATATTATCCATTTATATTTAATTTATTAGTTAGCTGCCCTGGCTAAGTATTTGATTATTCGTTGGCGAGTGACGTCGTTTGGCCAATAAGAATCCGAATTTTTCTCTTTCCTTTTTTCTTGTAATTTTTAATTTCATTCATATTCAAAATAAAAACTCAAACTGGTGTATCGATCCAAAACCCAATTAATTAAAACTGAAACCATGCTAGATTTCAGAAAAAATAGAATTTTTTTTATGTGATTGATGACTCAATTAACTTGATAACATTCGATCAAAAATCTAGTTAAAAATCTAGTTACATGCATTGATTATTTTTAACTAAAATAATATTATTTTAATTTAAAAAAATTAATCCAAACAATTTAATAACTTAATAAAAACCAAAAACCTAAACTTTAAACCAAACTAAATTTAAAAATTATAATTAAGATATGCCAGGACGAGTTGATTTAGTATAATAATTTGTGGATTAATATAGTATTTGGTATTGTAAGATTATTTTTTAAAAATATTTTTTATTTAAAAATAAATTAAAATAATATATTTTATTTTATGTTTTTTTAAAATATCATATCAAAATAATATTAAAAAATTAATTTAAAATAAAAAAATCAAAATTTATAAAAAAATAAAACTGTACATCAATATTTTAACCTTTAAAATTTAATAATTCCAGTTCACCTCTTATACTTTCCAAAGCGTTATAATCTAGTCCTTGAATGTGTATTTTATTGTAAAATGATTAACTCATATGCACATCATTTAAGTGAAGCTAAACATTGACACACCGCAAGTTGAAATAGATTAATGGATTTAAATGATGTCCCTCAGATATGGGAGAATAAATATTACCCTATAAATTTATATCAATATTTTAATTTGATTTAATATAAAACTTGATTTAATTAAGTTAGAGAAACTCAATTTAAACTGTTAAATTAATCTAGAAAATCTATAAATTATAGTTTGATCTATATTAAATTTTAAATTGAACAAAAAAATATTTATTTTAAATTACATTAATATGTTAAACTTTAAAAAATAATATTCAAACTCTTTTTTAAGTCCAATCTCTAAGCAAGATCTAACAATTATTTTTTCGAGTTCTTATCCTTAACCATCGAAGAGCTAAATCATGAAATATTCACTTCAATCTACCTTTCCATCTTTTGCTTGCCCTCTAAGCTTCATATGATAATATCCTACAAACTTTCTAGGAAAAAAAAATAAAAAATTTGGTTGTGAATTATCTTAACTATAACTGTTCACATTGGATTTTTAAAAAAAATTATATACATAAATTGCGTTTGAGATAACAGTGGTGCATGTTCTTTAAAGTATTTTTCTTTGAAAATATATTAAAATAATATTTTTATTTTATTTTTTAAAGATTTTTTAATATCAGTATATAAAAACAAATTAAAAATATAAAAAAAATTCTTAACTTTTTTTTTCAAAATGGTATTCAAAATGAGGTAGGTTACGCTAAAGATCACGGGCATTGAATTCACAAATGTTGTAAATTGCTACTCATTTTTATTATATTGTAGACAGATGAGAAAAATATTTAATCAATATTAATGCAATTAAAACGACTTACTAATTCTAATTTTTTCTAGACTTTCGCTTACCAATCTGATCCCATCTTCGAGATGCAATGGAGAAAACCAAATCGATCTGTTCATATAGCATAAAATCATTGGGTAGCCATGGTGGTTGCTGGTTGTGGTGCCATGCCACCATTCATGAAAATGCTAGTGATGATCAGTGCCATTGTTGTAGCAGATGGTGCTGCTCTGCGTAAAAACATTCGAGTATATATTTTGACGTTGATATTTACCTTCGAGTTCCTAAATGGACATGGTGATATGGAAACAAAAAAAAAAAAAAAAAAACATGATAATGGATTTGAATCCAACATCAAAAGAAAAATAGGAAAACAATCTGTTCTTACTTCAACAGAATGGTATGCAGAGACCATCTTGAGAACCAAGAACATGGTGTGGCTAGCAGATTCAAGAATTACCCGTGCTTGCAAGAAACAAGAACGCTTGCGTGCAGCAACAGCTGCATACTCCATTTCTTGCAGCGCAGATGTCATCGGACCCAATGTTTTCAGCAAGAGCTTGCAGGATAACATGACTTCAAATCATCCCTCACCAACTTTCGGTCAATTTAATATCAACTTGATAGATACTCACTAAATCTAACCCAAAAATATGTATTTATATTATATAAATATTCTGTAGAATATTTAGATTTTTTTAATAAAATATGATATATATATATACACGCACACACCTTAATATTGACATAAAAATGCATATATATATATATATATATCATTTAATATTATACATATTTCAAATATATATTAACTATTTTATTTTTTATTGATTAATAAATAATAATAAATGACAAACACTCAAAAACAAATTAATAATTTTTAAATATTTTTTTTTATTCAATAAATAAGAAATAAGATATAAAAATCAAGAAATTTAAAGCATTCGTGTACAATGTCATCCTACTTACCATCAAATATGTCACATTTCTCAAAAGAAACTTTATTATCCCCCCTTGTTCGCCCCCACTGCCTGGGAATCTACCAATTTATTCATTGCCCTCGTTTTTATTTCCGCAATAAGTTTTTCTACAGATTTTCCTTCTGTGTTTCTCTTTGCATCTACATCATCCAGAAAGAATATAATTCCCATGTTCAAATGTGCCTCCCTAGAGTGTTTGGACATGTAGGTGAACCCTCGTTTTAAAAAATTTTAAATTTTTATATAAAAAATTAATTTTTTTATATTAATCTTAAAAATATTTTTTAAAAAATAAAAAATTATTTTAATATATTTTAAAATAAAAAATATTTTAAAAAACAATGCCAACCAAACCTTCAAACAGCTATAATACCCTCACCTCCCCGCTAAAATCTAAGTCTTCACTTTTCGCTTCGAGGGATTTTGGTACAGCAGTTGCTTGTTCACCACCATCATTTTTGGAATGATCTAGTGTATTTTGAGGAAACGGTAATTCCAATCTCCCTGGGTTAAGATGTTCAGGGAGAATACTATGGCCAAGCTCGCCGATGTAGCTTGGGGCACCTTTGTTGCCCGGACTAGGTTTATTTAGAGTACGGTGAAGGTGGTGGCTATGGAGCTCGGGTGGTTTACATAGCAGCCACATACTTTCATATACTATATACCATTTCTAATAAATAAATCATGGTTTAAGGATGCCCAAACCTAAATTAGAAATCAAAATACTAACTCTCAATCTCAAATGAGTCAAAATTCCAAAAGAGGTAGCATCCGATTCGCAGTATTTACATCGCACTGTGGCTTAGAAGAAAGTTAGGAAAGTGTTTGCGGAAGGAATTTCCTTGTTAGATAGTGACTCGAGGTCACTCACTCACTAGTAATTTATCCTTTACTGGATATGAATACAAGTTGAAAATTTAACTAATCTGGACAGGTAGCCGCTTCATATTATCAATCCAACCAGTGTTCCGAAAAGTTTTTAATTTTTTATTTAAAATTAATATTTTTAATTCGTTTTGATACGTAAACATCATAAATAATTTTTTTTAAAAAATATTATTATAATATATTTTTAAATAAAAAATACTTTAAAAAACAATTAGAAACATGTTTTCAAATACATTCTTAAAAGCAGTATGAAAAAGCATTTCAAATTATTTTTTTATATTTTTTAAATTATTTTGATACTTAATATTAACAATAATTTTTTTAAAAAAAATTTATTAATTTCCAAGAAAAAAACATGTAAAAAATAATTGTTATTACATTGCAAACACCACATTAGGCAAAGATTATTGTGAAAAAACAGTAGGCCCTGTATGCATATATGGAGTGTGAAATGCCACTAGAATATCAAATATAAGAAAAACTGTAATCAATTTATCGATTTAAAATGCATATGCGAATAGCCATGTCAGTTATAATTGTTATCAATGAGGAACTACATTAAGAAAAAATAATAACTATTTTTTGATTTACTGCGACAAAATGATACATTTAAATAGCATGATATGTATAAGGAAAAGGGGACATTTTTTCTCATTACACCATATGGACTTCTAAAAGAGAGTAAGAAATGATATTTGGGCAAACAGGATAAAGAATATCTTTAAAGGAAAGAACAAAATTAACCCCACATTAGTTTTCAAAAGGCAGGAAAGACATTGGGAACCAGGTACCTGGTAACCCATGTTACTAATCTTTGCCAAGCCTCGAGCAGGGAAAACCCAGATAACCCGGGCATGATTGAAAGGCACACCGACCGGGTGAAAGAAAGAAGCAGGAAAGGATTCTCAAATATGAAAAACAATTCTTCCAAGTTGTATTTATTTTGTGATTCTGACAATGGACTTGTCTTCTCTTCAGTCCAACAAGTCCTGCCAAAAGAATTCTTCCCACAAAAATTCCTGAATAACAAAGATTGTTGCAGCACGCCTTTAATATCTAACAGATAAAAATTTAAGAAACATCAACATCTTCACAATAGTTGTACCTCTCTAATGTAAAACAAATTCAGTGAAGCTTTAGGTAGGGAGTAGAGGCCGTCTTTCATCCTCTCCTGCATGACGAGTTGTCTGCACAGAGCAAAAGCGTGGTAAGTTTGAGAACAGTTAATACTATCTAAATTATGGTAACTACAGATACACACCTCTACATGAGCTGCTGCTGCCAAATCTAGGAACGAATCTTTTGACCTGAACAGTAATATCATATAATGTACCTCATTATTGGAACAAAGAAGATAAACTAAATCAAAGTATTTTCTCGGAACTCTTTTCCATCCCCATCCAAGAATTAAAAAAAAAATCGCATTAAGCAACTAAATCAGGTTCCCTTGAGGCATATCCAATTTAAAGCTGATCACGGGTAATTTTTTCAAATTGCAGGAAGAACAACTTGAATTATCCAAAGCTATTTCTTAAACTTTGGCCACTTGGAGTGAGTGCGTGTGTGTGACAGAGTGAGTGAGAGAGAGAGAGAACATACTTGAGTTTCTCAGGAACATCCCTTAGTTCCGTCATTCCATTCTGCTGTTCGTCCTTGACTTTTGCAAGTGGTGAAAAGAACTGGATGACAAATGAAGCCAAAGAAAAGAGGGTACTCAATTTTTTTTAAAAAAAAGTTTACAATCCAAAAAATTTCCTTTCAATTATCTTTATAAATCACCTGGTGCATTGAGATGAACACAATAGAAATTCCTAACATAAAGTTTATGGTCAAAGTATGACCAAACAACGCAGCAGATGCAATGCCAGTGAAGATTGTTGCGACTGTTGAAGAGTACTTCTTCAGGATTGTATCTGAAAACATCCAAATGACATCACTACCCATGTGTTGCTAATAATATTTTTATGCCATCACTCACAGAAGCACATATAGGTAAGATAAAAATCCAAATACGAACTTAAGACATGTAGACATCAAAATCATTTCATGCAAAGGGACATTAGGGGTGAAAAGAACCTGCATATTTGAAGAAAAAAGAAGACAAAATTCCTTGGGCTGCATTGTTAAATATTAGAAGCATGGTAGCTTTTGAATGTCCTTCCAGGATGTTAAAGCTACTGGGTCCTGAAAACATTCAATATTAAAATGTCAGGGGACACAACCATAAGTTTTGCATAAGCATCCCACGAAACAAAACTACCAAGATCATAGGCAACGGGCATTTGATCATCTCATGAAAATATTATTACAACAAAATGTTTTGCATGACTTTTGAACATAATAACAATTCAATCAAAGATTCTTAGAGGAGTGTAGGAGCCAGCTGTAGATGCCATCATATTAGAATTTTATCAATCATTCCAATACCCTATTAACAATAAAGAAATTTAAATCTTCACAGCAGTTCTTATGTTCCAAATATTCACAACTGAAAAATCCATCATAAAAACTTCTCCTCAATGTCACAAGTAAACTAGATAAAGGAGTAAAAAAAGCTGTCCAAGATAAATCAATAAAACACGAACCCATTAATGGCATAACCTGCAAACACCTGATATTAGAACTTAGGCATTGCTCTCAATGTAATCATAAATTCCTTGTAAAATTAAAATTAAGTAATAGATTTCTTCAATACCTTTGACCACGACAGTTCCCAGTATTGCTAAAAAGTTGAATATAGCACCATATCCATACAAAAATACATTCTGGAAGCAAAGGAATTGGAGTCAATGTTAGGATAACTTATTGAGATTTAATTCTTTCAAAAATCCAAATATCAATTTTGAAGTTCACAATGCAGCTTCAACTCAGGGCAGAAGCAGATTGACCCAATCGTTAAATAATGGAGCCATGCACTACCAACTCAAAGTCCTTCAGAAGTCAAGAGCATGTGCTTGACACCTGCTAGGGAACTCCTCCCTAGATTAAAGGTAACAAATACTGTACTTCATATTGGAATCTATATAAACAATCATAATCATCATTTGATGGTCATCACAAGTGATACCATAAATAACATGATACTCTGAACACTGTTTTAATGCTCAACATAAGTAACCAAATTCCTCAACCATGAAATATCACCTGTAGGTATATGCTTGTGTCATATTGGCTCTTCATAGCATATTCATTAAATACAGAGGCCATAGATGGAACAGTCACCTGTAAAATTCCAAAAATCAGCCTCCAACATGCGAGGAGAAAAAAAAAGAGGAACATGACAATATTTTACATTCAGATGACTACTTTTAACAGAATCTGCTTTCATAACCAGCACTTCATGCCATTGAACAAATAGTAATTACTATCCTCAGCAATATTATACTTGAATTCACTTACAAAGATCAATGTGTAGATGTATGCACCCGTTGCAACTGGAAGGCCCATAGCGGTAGTACCTTCAGGTAAAGAGCGCAACTGATTTACACTTATTCCGATGAGCAACAAAGCAAGAGCTTCCCACTGTTAAGAGACCCACAAGTCAGTCCTATATTTCCCAAGAAAATGACATGGAAAAGTGGTCATAAGTGAACCTAAAACATGGAATAACCTGAATTATGGAAAACCGACGTCTCATTATGATTTTCAGTAAAACAGCAATTACCAAAACCTGCAAGTTCACAGAGAAACAAAATTTAACCTAAGTAGAAGTACATGATCTAAAACATAAATGTGAGCTTGTATTCCCTTCTAAAAATAACATGAGCATTTCTATATAAAAATTCTGGTAGAGAGAGAAGCAGCATCCCAGTTCACCATATCCAGGCATAATTTATCCACAAATGAAGTTCTTATTACACCTCATCCAAGCCCTTGGTGAAAAGAATCAAATATGATTAATTTCATTAATTTTAGCATCCAAGTAAAACTATTTCTGTGAGATGAAAATCCTTTGTCTCAGTTTACTAATTTATCAACGTGTTCTACTTCAATTTTCGAAGATTTTTTTGTAGAGCATGCTGTTTCAGTGGAAAGTGAGTGTCTAATACTGAGAGTACAGGACCAGAAACTGCTCACAGTCATTTAAAAGCCACTATATATATATATATTCATCTGGGACTCTGAACCAAAAGTTGATTTCTCAGTTAAATGTTGAACAGCTTCGAAGAATTTTATCTGTAGTTTGTGACTCTTCACCTATATTTAAATTCAAGATCCTTATTGGATAGTTGAAACTGAAAAAATGTCACAAGTCCACCAAAGCTGGAAGCATTGGTGTTTATCAGGGGAAGATCATGAAGCTAACAACCAATATAACTAAGCTTCTAATAATCAGAAATATTCATCATAGAATACCTTCAAATTGCTCAGCATCTTCACAGTTGCAGGATTGAAATATAACTGCAAAACAAAGAATAAATTACAAGTTGAGGGGTGAATGAGAACACAAAATAATGCTTAATTCTACATCTGAATAGATCTTAAATAAAAAAAACATAATATCATTTCCACTCTTATTTTAGCAAAGTTTCTGAGTAAATCTTGTGTGTAAGCCCCACTGTTCACAGCTTCCTGGATTTATAGTTTCTGATGCCCCTCAAGGCATCAAAATAGGAGCTGGATGCACTCCTAAGCAGATAAGAAGTTGCTAGATTTCCTTCGGTATAAAATCATCAAAAGCAATTCATCCCGGTCAAAGGAAGCAAATGCATTGATTTTCATAACTGAACACAAAAGTTTAGACTTTGCACTATTCTGGTGGGACATTCTTCTCTCTACAAAACCAAATTGAAAATTCTGGACTTCTTTATCATTTTGATAGTTTACTTACATTCATTCCCTAGAGTAAGCAACTAGGACAATTAGCCTTTCACAAAGAAGAGCAAGCCAATGCTGGCACAATATTCATTGGTCCTTTTCGGTAATACTGTTTCCACAGAATCCATCATATTTGATAATTATGTGTCATAGGATCCAACTAGCAATTGTGTTTGGATGACAGCCCATGAATCCAAAGCCTACATAATATCCTAGAGTCTTTGTGTTCTTTATGAGGTCACACATGATGCAAATACACAACATGCATTGAGAAAATATACAAGGTAGGGTCTGACAGACCCAGCCACAACCCAAATGCACATCATGTTTTCTTAAGGCCCTCCCAGTCCAATCAGCAACTTATTTATCTCACCCATATATTTACCATGGTCAGAGAAGGCTGGGATAAGTTGCCCATTTACCTCCTCAATCACCATCCCTATAAGCAATTGCATCTCAGTAGTTGCCCCCATGCATGGTATTGAGCCATTGAAACAAATATGGTAGCAAATTGAAATAAAGTAGAGTACAAAATGTGGACCGAATAGATAGGAAGAGATTACAAAAGAATTATACCTGCATGATGAATTTCAAATAGTTATTGATAGCATAAAGAAGAGCTGGAACTGCAAGAAGAACATTGTTACGAGCTGCCTGTAAAAAAGATAATGCATGGCCAGATTTAAGGCTGTCAAACATAACATTGAAAATCTTTTGTTTAAATGTGCAACCCTTCTGAGAAAAAGATGATACCTGTACAAATGTGGAGATTGATAGAAGGGGCTTCTCTCCAACTTTCTGATGCCTCGCCTGCATAATTAACCAAAACTTTACATCATCAGCTAGAAAATGAATACACATAAGAGGCATAACAAAAATCTTTTGTTCAAGAGTCTTTCTAGTTTTCATGAAGACACTAACATTTAATGAAATGCTATAAGCAAACACAAAAACAAATCAGGATAAAAACTAAAACGTGAAAAATAACTATAGAGTATAAATCATCTAAGTCAAGATCTCTCCTTATTTCCAAGCTCCACTCCACTTATGGAGATTGATTTACATATCAATACTCAGTTGGAGATCAAATATAACATGTATTAGGCATGGCAATAGGAGAAAAACCAATTCTTTGGCAATGTCAGGTATATATAGTGACTATCTCAGCATTCAAACCTCAACACTTTGAAGCCGCAAGCATAAAACTATAACTACTGCATTATGCAATGTCCATTTGCTTTACATTAGGCCATGGGAGGATGGCAGAAAAAAATGGAATCAGGCAAACACTTCAATGACTAGAAAACTTAAATGACTAGAAAAGAACATAAAATGTACCTGGAACAAAAGCATGACAATTGCAAACAGAACCTTCGCAGCCTCTATCAAGAAGTTAACACTAAGTGGGCTAAAATTGAACTTCCCATCCACCTTGGACATATAAACCAAAATAGGCTGGCAATAAAAGCAAATCAAACATGTTAAGAAATCGAAGAAACAAGAAGACAAAAACATGTCAAGGAATCAGAGAAACAAGAAGACAGTTGAGGCAAAAACCAAATTAGTTATTATTGCACGCCTAAACAAAACAATACCACAAACGATATTTGAATGAACTATATCAACAATGAAGTCACTGGTATTCACTTTGTCAATCAGCAAAGGACAATTCTAAATATAAACATAGAAAAGTAGCAAACAGATCTATAAGATAGCTTGCCCATCCCAATTTCCAACAAACTATATTCAAATGAACTCATATTAGAAAAGAGAGAGAGAGAGAGAGAAATCGTGAAGGCAACTAATCACCTGTAAACCAACTAGGACACAATCGCCAACAACCAAAAGCACATTAAGGGCACGCTGCTTTGATGAAACCCTGATCTTATGTCGATCATAAGCCTTCGAATATGTTCTAGAATTTGGAGAAACCAATTTTGAATGGCACACACTGCATTCTAACGTGCCGTTCTTCATTGGCTTCCTCCTCGCTGCTCACACTTCTACACTTCACAAAATTAAATCTACACAGAATAATAAAGGTTAAAAAAAAGTTAATAACCCACAAGGAACAGTCATTAATTATTACTATCAATTGCTAATTAAACATTTAGCACTTGATTGTTGAAGTTACGGATTTAAATCATATATTAACAACTAAGGAAATTAAAATTCTCTGTTCCATTAAGAAATTAACCAAATTTATTAACACAAACATAATTCACAGTTAATAGCTAATCTTTGTTCAAATCATGCGCATATTTCAACTCTTGATACCTAATTCACTTGAAATTGTTAAAAATAATACATGGATTTATAGCTAAAATTCTCCCTGATCCAATAAATCATAAGAAAGTAACTAAATCTATTAAGATAAACAGAACCCAGACCAGATCCAAACAGTACATTAAGAATCATCAGATCCTGCGCTTTCAAAGTCCAAAACTAACACTTCGTTATCTAAACAAAGAAAACAACAAAAAAATCACTTTGATCTCACCAGAATCACAATCTCAACAATTCATCTGCCGAAAAACTCTCGGCCACCGGTGAGATCTCCGATTAGATCCACAGCTCCTCCAAAATTGAATCCAATTCTCTTGCCGGGGGAGATTCAAATTGAATTCGGCAGACAAAAATAAGAAATGGAATTCTCTCTTAAAAGAAACCCGAAACGGTTAGAGCATTAAAAGAGCTGGTGCTTTAATAAAAGCAACGGAAATCAATACTTTAATCTCACCTAAATCAATCTCTTAAAAACTCATTCACCGACGGTGAAATCTCCGGTCAGATCCACTGCTACGCGGAAATCCAATTTAATTCTCTCGGCGAGAGAGATTTGAATTCCCTCTAGAAAGAAAGTTACGCAGAACTATTATTATTATGAGAGGGAGGTGCGATTCAGAAGAATATGCATGCACTTTGTTATTATTATTATTATTGCTTCGGATTTACAACAAAACACACGGTGTTTGGTGTGTTTGGGTTTTGGTTAATGGAAAACGACTTCAATGAAAGGTGACGGACCAATCACGTGTCAGATTTGCGTGTGAAGAAGTGAAGTCAAAGTAAATGAAGGCTGCTTTATGGTGATGTGTTTGGCCAATTATTTTCGAGTGTTAGATTGGTGATGGAAGTGTTAGGGTGGTGGTGTGTGACTTTAGCACAACCAATATTCATTCTTATATGGAATTCACTAATTCTTGTATGATTTTCCTTACTGTAGAAAGCATTATCATATCAGTTTAATTATTATGATATCAATTTATGTATTAATCAAAATCAATTTTATGTTTTTTATTTATTTCATGGTATTTACAAATCATCTTATCAATGTACCTATCATTTGACATTAAATTATAAATTAATCCCTATATTCTTACAATGTTAATTAAATAGTCCCTCTAGCTTCAAAAATATTTAATTAATATTTATGATTTTAAATCTATTTGGAGCATGATTACTTTCACCTATTTCATAATATTTTTTTCATAAATAAAAAATGGATAATATGAAACAAGATATTTTAAAAACAAAGAAATATTAAATTAAGCATGATCAACAGTAATCAAATAATTAATTGAATAATTTTTAAATTAAAAGAACTATTTATTTCATTTTATAAAACTAAAAAAATTAATTTTTAATTTTCTCGTTTAACAATAATATTTATTTAATACAACAAAAGAAATAAAATTAAAATCCTAAACTCAATTCATGTCATATTACAATTACAATTACATTAAATAAAACACTAAAAGTGGTGGTGATTTTCTTTAGATCCAGTAGACCATTTTTTTTTGTTTTTTTTTTTAATTTTAAAAGTTTTTTTAATTTTAATAATTAATTATTTTTTAATTTTATCCTGTAATGTTATTTTATATTAACAAATAATTTTTTATATAACCTTCAATGATTTATTTATTTATTTTAATCTTGAATTTTTTATATGCATATCTATTTTTAGTGTCTCATAATTAAATAAAAAATGTGTTATAAGAAAAATTAGTTATTAAATTCAAATAAGTCAATGACTCCAATCAATAGTTTTATAGATTAACTAAACTCACTTGTTTTGATCTAAAATGTAGTCTTCTTAATAGTTTTTTTTTTAAATAAGATAAAACAAAATCATCTTGGAGGTTTTTTTTTCAAGTCAAACCATATTTTGAAAGTTTTTAAATAAGTTCAAGTGTATTTGGGATATTATTTAATAAACTATAATTTAATTTTTATTTTGTTTTTAAGATAATAACATATTTTTGTGGTATTAACAAGTGCTTTTTTTATATGGCTCTTCATGATGTTTTTCCTTAAATTTTATTTAATTGATTTTCTTTGCATGTCTAATTTTATTATCATATAACTAAATAAAAATTTTTATTTTAAAAAATAAAGTTATTAAACTTAAATAGATGCATAACTTAGGTTGATAAAAAATGTTATTGCTTAGATTATTTTTTTAATTCAAACAAAGATGGCTTGAAATTTCTTTAAATCAAAATAACTTTTAAATAGGAAATCGAGCTATAATTGGATCAGTTAGATCAAACATAATACATTTAGATAACTTAACATGATTCAACTTAAAACCCATGCGCAATGAAAAAAGTCATAAGATCAAGTCAAATTAATAATAAAAAAATATGTTATTAAGTTGTTTATTTTATTGGATTTTAATTTTTACTTCTTATAAAAAAGAATTGACATATAATTTAATAAAAAATTAAATAGCACAACACAATATGAGATCATGTTTTTTTTTTTTAATTTTCATCTATTTCTCAATTTCTTGGTTTATTTTTTTTATTATTATCATAAACAACTCTTTTTAATATTTACTAGTCTATTAGTTCGTGCTCTGCAACAAGTTGGACCAAATTTTTTAAAGTAAACAAAAATACTAAGAGCATGAGGTTTTTCTTAACAATGCTATTAATTTCGAGCAAGAATGTATTTTTTGAAGTCCTTTAACTTGACTTCTTGTCTAACTTAAGTTTTCAATTAAGAGCTAAATTGATATTACTTGATTGATTTAATGGGTTTTAAAAAAACTCAAATGATTGGTAAAAGCATGGATCAACTTATAAAAAAAACCAAGAACAATAGTATATTGGATGACCCCAGGTCGCATATGATTTAATTTATGAACTTAATCGGGTTTAATAATTTTGACTTAATTATGTGATAAAAATTAAATGCTTGCAATTTCAAGTATCAATTCTAAAATATATATTTATTCAAGACCATGATAACCCTAAACAAAGCAGAAAAGTCATTCACGAAGTCTATTTCTTAACCAATTCAATATCAATAAATAAAAACAAAAAAAGTTATTAAATTATTATCAACAATAAGTAAAAGATCAAGTTGCCTCTAAGATGATAATTAAGCCCTTGAAGTTAAGCTTTAAAAGTAAGTGAATTTTTTTCTAAAAAAAACTCTTAGACTCAATCTAAGTATTATTTTGAATTTATAGTCACTATATCAACTTAAATTTGCAAAATAGTAATAAAAAAGATAATGAATATTTCACAGCAATTAAAGAATGATGAGTGTGGAAGCCATTGTAGAAAAAATTGGTAAACTTACTCCTTCAACCTATACTAATTGTCATGTGATTATAAACCTAGCCATTGTAGAAAAAATCGGTAAACTTACTCCTTCAACCTATACTAATTGTCATGTGATTATAAACCTAGCCATTGTAGAAAAAATCGGTAAACTTACTCCTTCAACCTATACTAATTGTCATGTGATTATAAACCTAAGTTAATATTCTAAATTCATGATATTAGGAATTGAAGTTTCAGGTTTAATTAAAAATTTTAATTGTTAACCAGATGAAATTAAAAAAACAAATCTCAAATTAAAAAACTAACCAAAGTAAAAATAGAAGAAAAGAATGAGCATCAAATATGGAAGGAAAGAAAAATGAAGGCTGAAAGTGAAAAAGAAAACAAATTAAAAAATTATTTTAAATAAAAAATTAAAAGAATAAAGATCAAATTTAATTTACAAAAAAATTAAAGGAGGATGCAATTAAAAACAAAATAAATTTTTTGAAATGAATTAAAATAAAACAAATAAAAATAAAAAATTAAAGGAGAAAATCAAAAATAAAATAAAATTAAAGGCTTGATATGAAAATATGGAAGGCCAAACATGACTTTCTAGAAGAAAAGAAAAAGCTATTAGCAATGCATTAAAGATCTGACGACTACATGCATTGCATGAGAAAAGACCAAAATGAATTGAATGACATGATATAATAATATTTTTTACCATCATATTTAATTGTATATGTTTTTTTTTATTTATGTGGGGTGTTCGGGTCAGCTTGCGCGCACCACGACTAATCTCCACGGCCCACTGAATACCCTGCAAATCCAATAGGCATGTAAGGCACCGCGGGGTGATAGACATGCATGCCAGGACTCGAACCCATATGCAATGGAAGAAGATAAGCCCCTTCCACCGCTAGGCCAAGCCCCTTAGTGCTTTAATTGTATATGTTACTTAAAAGGGATGAAGCGATAGACACATTGATACATTCAGTATACACATTAAATATTTATCGCATCTTTTTAGTTAAAAACAAGTAATATTTTAATTTCAGGATCCAAATATTATTACAAAAAAACCATTTGAAATTATGTATAAGATTATCAAGCCAAGCTTTTAAAAATTTAAATTCAAAGGTATTATTTATTTTTAAAGATAAAAAAATTATTTTATTTTCAAAAGAATAATAAAAAGATTTAAATATTCTTTAACAATTAAAAACTAACAAATAAATAAATAAATAAAACCGTTTTACCTCTTAAAAATCAATTTATTAATAGTTTTTTCAAGAGCAAAATCATTAATTCACTATTACAATTTACATTATATATATAATGATTTTTTCATATATTTTAGTTTTATATTTAATTATCTTATATGATTATCGATTAAAAACACTACAAATTTTTATCATTCAAAAATTTTCTTAGTTTAAAAAAAACATTAACCCGCGTATCTTTTTCTTGTTAAAATTACCTTTTGATCCGGCCCAGTACGATCTCTTTAAGCTGAACATCGAAGAGAAAAGAGCACGACATCGTTTTAGTCAAAGTCCTATAATCTGTAATCTGTGCATTTTTGTTTTTAACTACTTCAAAGTTCAAACCCTATAATACTTTTTTTAAGCCAGACTTCTCAATATTTTTTTTTTAATTTTTTTTCTCTCCCAGGTTTCTCTATCTTTCTCGGGAAATTCATTCAAGTCACATCGATCTCGTTGGATTTCATTGGAAACAGAAGGTACATCTCTGAGATTCTTGCTTTATCTTTATCTGGGCGACTCAATTTTAGTTTACTGATGCAAATTTAGTTCTTAAAGAAACTAGGATTTTCCTCTTTTCCCTTGTTTGGTTTCTGGTAAAGGTGGGAAAAAGAAGAAAAATAGAAAAGGAGCAGACTTTCTTGATGTTGGAGTCCTAAATTGAAATGGGATTTTTTTCCTGGAAAATTTTGGTGAATGTATTGTTTGTTTTGGATGATCTTGTTGTCTAGATTGAGTTTCCTGGTAGAGAACGGAAGGGGTTTCTTGCTGATGTAATGGCACTTGCATTTATCTATAGTCTACAAAACGTGTGGCCGTTGTCAATATTGAAAGTTGATGATTTGAAAGCATCTAATGAAATAGTTAGGAAGCTTTCTATACCAGAAAACACGAAAAGATTTGTTTTTGCAGTTCGCGATCCGAAATCTCAATCTGTGATTTATATACTCTGTGCTCAGAATTTATCTGAGAGGTCGGCTGTAGACGTTGAGTGCCTTGTTAGGGAGGTTCGACCAGATGCTGTAGTGGCTCAGGTGGGTCATTCGGCGTTGGTTGATATTCAAACTGAAGAGAGTGAATTAGGAAATATTGTTGGTGAGCTAGTTCCCACTTCGTCATTTGGAGTGATTAAAAGAT